GCCTCACACCCGCACACGCCTCACAGCCGGGCACCCCTCAGACCCGCGCACGCCTCAGACCAGCGCGCCTCACACCCGCACACGCCTCACACCCGCGCACCCCTCACACCCGCGCACGCCTCAGACCAGCGCACCTCACACCCGCACAATCCTCACACCCGCGCACCCCTCAGACCCGCGCACGCCTCAGACCAGCGCGCCTCACAGCTGGGCACCCCTCACACCTGCGCACCCCTCAGACCCGCGCACCTCACACCCGCGCACCCCTCACACCCGTGCACCCCTCAGACCAGCGCGCCTCACATCCGCGCACCCCTCACACCCGCGCACCCCTCACACCCGCGCACCCCTCAGACCAGTGCGCCTCACAGCCGGGCACCCCTCACACCGGCGCCCTCTCGCAGCTCTGTGTGCAGCACGGCTGGACTCCGGGAAACGGCCGCTTCGACGTGCTGCCTCTGCTACTCCAGGCCCCCGATGAGCCCCCAGAGCTGTTCACTCTGCCCCCCGAGCTGGTCCTCGAGGTGCCCCTGGAACACCCCACGTGAGCACGGCAGGCACTAGTGGCATGGAGGACCCGGCCTGGGGGGAGGGGGCCGGGCCCACGGGGGGCCTGACCTCTCGCCCCTCCCAGGCTGGAGTGGTTCGCTGCCCTGGGCCTGCGCTGGTACGCGCTCCCCGCCGTGTCCAACATGCTGCTGGAAATCGGGGGCCTGGAGTTCCCCGCGGCCCCCTTCAGCGGCTGGTACATGAGCACCGAGATCGGCACGCGAAACCTGTGCGACCCGCACCGCTACAACATCCTGGAGGTAGCCGCGGCGGTGGGCGGGCAGCGAGCAGCAAGCCCTGCCCCCAGCTGGAAGGCCCCGCCCTCCGGAGCGACAGGCTCCGCCCCCGAGCAGCAGGTCCCGCCCCCTGGGCCTGGCGCCTTGGCTCTCATGCAGACAGAGCTGGGGGGCCGGGGAAGTCACCAAGCAGGACCACGCTGGGTGCTGCAAAGCCAGAATTCACCACGCTGGGTGCTGCAAAGCCAGAATTCAGAGGGGGCCCACAGCCACCCAGGCGGGGTGCGGGGGGGGGGGGGGGGGGTGCCGGGGCTGCATATGAGCATATCCTTACTTTTCTAGGATAGGGTCAGTATCACTTTAGCCTCCATCAGAGTCTCAACGCAGACTTTGACCCAAATGACGAAGGAAGTTACTTTACAGGAGAAATTAAGAGCCAGGGCTGGGAAGGGACAGGCCCAGGGCCTCTGTTCTGTGGCGCCATTGCCAGCAAGAACCTGCAGTGGCCGCTGGGGGCCCCAGCCGCCACCTTCAGCCCTTCCACTCACGGGGTTGTGATGGAGGCCCCGCATGATGGTCCCTACCAACGCGTGCGCCCTGCTGCAGGACGTGGCTGTCTGCATGGACCTGGACACGCGGACAACCTCGTCCCTGTGGAAAGACAAGGCGGCGGTGGAGATCAACTTGGCCGTGCTGCACAGTTACCAGGTGCTCAGGCCCAGGCTGGCTGGGCGGGCCGGGCGCAGGGTGGAGGGGCGGAAGGCCTGGACACGCAGAAGAGGGAGTCCCGTGGACCAGGGCCCAGAGCCCAGGCCCGCAGCTCCAGGGGCCTCAGCACACTTTGCCGGGGCTTCAGCAGGGCGTGTAGCATGGGGAGCTGGCCAGTTTGTACTCAGCAGTGATTCTGGTCCCTGGGACATGCCGGCTGTTTGTGGGACGCGCTGGTTCTGAACTCGGATTCCAGCGTTGAGGACGTATAGTGTGAGGGAACTGGTGGCTGCAGGGTGCTCCCGGGGGGACTGAGAGTCTGGGGTCTGTTGGTTTGGCGGGCACTGGACACAGGAAGCAGGAGCAGCTGGACTTGGGGTACAGCCTGCAGGCTGCAGTTGGGGTGACATCGTGTGTTAGCTGGGGGCTAACCAGGACTCCGAGTGGTAGTGGTGGAGTCTAAGCCACCCCCTCTCCCCAGCTGGCCAAAGTGACCATCGTGGACCACCACGCCGCCACAGCCTCCTTCATGAAGCACCTGGAGAACGAGCAGAAGGCCAGGGGGGGCTGCCCCGCCGACTGGGCCTGGATCGTGCCCCCCATCTCAGGCAGCCTCACCCCAGTCTTCCATCAGGAGATGGTCAACTACTTCCTCTCCCCTGCCTTCCGCTACCAGGTGCCCCCACGGGTTCCTGCCCCTGGGGCCAGCTCTAGGGAGGCAGCTCCAGCCTCCAACCCTGTTTTCTTCACCCTCCCCCACCGCCCCTGCAGCCAGACCCCTGGAAGGGGAGCGCAGCCAGGGGCGCGGGCATCACCAGGAAGAAGACCTTTAAAGAAGTGGCCAAGTAGGTACCCAGGGGCTGCCCTCCGCCCCCCCCCCCACCGCTCAGGACCCCTCACCACCCCTCTCCTGCAGTGCCGTGAAGATCTCTGCCTCGCTCATGGGCACCGTGATGGCGAAGCGCGTGAAGGCGACCATCCTGTACGGCTCGGAGACCGGCCGCGCGCAGAGCTACGCGCAGCAGCTGGGCAGGCTCTTCCGGAAGGCCTTCGACCCCCGGGTAGGGTTGAGCCCAGGGCCGCAGGGGTCTGGGAAGAGGGGAGGTTCACTTGGGTCTTCCGGGGTGCCCGGGAGGCAGGAAAGCACCAGTCAGGGCCCGGGGGGAGCCCCGAGGCCCACGGGGCCAGGCATCTTGCCCGCGGGGACTGAGGCCGGGCCGGCGGCAGCACGGGTCCTCTTCCCACAGGTGCTGTGCATGGATGAGTACGACGTGGTGTCCCTGGAGCATGAGACGCTGGTGCTGGTGGTGACCAGCACATTTGGAAACGGAGACCCCCCAGAAAATGGAGAGGTGAGGCCTGCTGGGTAAGGGGCCACTGGGGACTAGGGGAGATTCAACATTGGGGTGACGACCCCAGCTCTGCTGGTCCCCCAGAGCCGAGTGTGGTCATTCCATTAGGACCTTGAGCCCGTCCCAGCCGCCCCCCCACACACACACACCCCAGCCTGTGTCCCCAAGGCGTCTGCATGGCCAGCGCAGGGCCGAGGTAGCCACCCTGGCTGGTCGCGGGCTGGAGGGCTGGGGGCGCTGACAGAGACGGGCGAGCACTGTTCAGATGGCGCCGAGGTTCGGTCTCTTGGCTTTCTGAACACATCGCTAAGAACGGGGACATTGGCTCCCCGCCGCTGTCCTTAACGGCTGCGCCGCCTCTGGCCGCCCTCACTAGACTCAGCCCCTTCTCCGGGTCAGGCTGTCCCTGACGACTGCCCTGTGAGCGCTGAGGGCCCCTGGTGCCCGGAGGGGCGGGGTGCCCAGTGAGCCCCCCCACCCCGCCACGTCAGCGCATTCTGGCCTGCCTTTTAAAGAAGAGCAGAGCCGTCCCTTTCGTTTGGGTGGCCTTGGGCATCACCGACAGCCCTGACCACGGCCCTTAGCAAGACACAGAACATCCCCCCGAAGGCCCCTCCCCAGCCCCCACGGCCGCCACGCCGGCTCTGGCTTCTGTGGCTGTGGGCTGGGTCCGCCTGCCCCAGACCGGCGCGGCAGTGGGGTGTCCCGCATTAGGGCGTCTCTGCCGGGCTCCCCGCCGCAGCGGTGAGCGAGCTCGCGGGCGCGCGCGGTTTCCCTCCTGTTGACAGACACTTGGGCTGTTTCCAGTTTTGAGCGATGACGAATAAAGCTGTTATGAACGTTCTTGCACGAGGCTTTGTGGGCTTATGTTTTCATTTCTCTTGGATAAACACCTAGAAGTGAACGGCTGGGTCACGGGGTGGACGTATGTTTAACTGGACCACACCCCCAGCCGCCACGACGCCGGGGCGAGGCTGTTCGAGGCTGTTCGCCTTCCCTCGGGGCTCACGGGGGAGCAGCCCCGCAGCACAGCCCGGGGCGGGCTCTGTCCAGTAGCGACACAGCCAGGATCTTGATAGCCCCCCTGTTCATAAGCCCCCACGCTGGAAACAATTCAAATGACTATCAACGTGGACTGGATAAATGGGGGTACATGCGCGCGTGGCGCCGCCGTGAGGCGGGGTGGGAACCACACCAGCAGCATAGCCGGCTCTCGAAGGAGTGTGGCGGGGAAGAAGCCAGGCGGGAGACTCAGCCCTTCGGGTTCACTCACTTCCTACAGGGCGCAGAAACAGGCGGGACGGGTCCTTGGGGTGACCCGTCACCACCAGAGGAGGGCGCTGGGGGTGTTTGTGGACGGCTGCCGATTCCTCCAGTGGGTCCAGCTGTGAAGTGAGCTGGGCTGGGGGGACCGTGTGCTTTCTGCGTTGTCTGAAAGACAGGTCCAGGGGTAGGTGTTAACGCCGGCGGGTGCTGAGCCAGACCCACACGCACCTGCTCCCTCTGAGGGCGGGGGGCGCGCTGAAGGCTGGGGCTCACTGTGGGGAGACTGGGAGAGGGGGCGCGCTGAAGGCTGGGGCTCATACTGGGGGCCATGCTGGGAGGGCACTGAGGATTGGGGTTCACTCTGGGGGACTGGGCGGGGGCACGCTGGGCTCATTCTGCGGGCTGTGCTGGGGGGGCGCTGAGGGTTGGGGTTCACTCTGGGGGACTGGGCGGGGGCACGCTGGGCTCACTCTGGGGGCTGTGCTGGGGGGGCGCTGAGGGTTGGGATTCACTCTGGGGGGACTGGGGTGCACGCTGGGGGCCGTGCTGAAGGCTGGGGTTCACGCTGGGGGCCGTGCTGGGGGGCCGCTGAGGGTTGGGGTTCACTCTGGGGGCTGGGATGCACACTGGGGGCTGTGCTGAAGGTTGGGGTTCACTCTGGGGGCTGAGCTGGGGGGCCACGCTGAGGGCTGGGGTTGGCGCTGGGGGCCCCGCTGAGGGTGGGGGGTCTGGCTGAGTTGTTCCCCCCCCCAGTCAGGCGGGTGTGTGAGGGTCAAAGCAGCCCCCTGCAGCAGGTGGTGCTCCTCAGCTTCTGAGCCGCGGGAGGGAGGGAGGAAGAGAGAGAGAGAGAGAGAGAGAGAGAGAGAGAGACTTCCCAAACTGGCTGACTCCCTTCTAGGGCAGCCTGGAGGGGAGGGTCTGCGCCCTGGGGTCACGATCCCACCTCCAGGGAGCACCCACTGACCCCCGCTAGCACCATGGTGGACCCCAGCCGTCTGCGGGGCGGCTGGCACAGATGGCAGGGCCGTGGAGCCGGGCCGCTGGCGGCTGGCAGAGTGCCCACACAGCTTCCATTTTTGCTCCCCAAAGGACCTGTAAATGCAGACTCGTGTGAGCCACGAGAGGCCGGGCCCCCCGCGCTTGGTGCTCATGTGGCGCAGGGTGACTGGCGGGGGAGAAGCCTGGTCTCTCCTTTGCTGCTCCGCTGCCGCTGTGTTCTCAGAGGGTCAGGGCCTCCCGGCGATGCAGCAGAAAGGTGGCCGATCTGTGGTGATGCGGGACTGAACCCGAGCAGCTCTGTGACCCGGTCAGAGATGCATAAACGGCCACAGCCAACAGCCTTTGGAAGTTGGGAAGCAAATTAAAAGTTACAAATAACAGCACTGGGGTCCAGCACCCCAGTTCAGACTCTACACAGTACTAACCTGACCCGTCACCCCCAGGGCTTTGCAGCCGCCCTGATGGAGATGTCGGGGCCCTACAACAGCTCCCCGGGGCCCGAGCAGCACAAGTGAGTAGGGTGGGGCATGAGGGACACTGGGGTGGGCAGTGAGGCATCTGGAGAAACCAAAGGAAGGGGTCTCCCTGCGGCCCCCAAGTCACTTACCCACAGCCAGAGGCGCTGCCTGGGCCCCCAGCCCCAACCTGCTCACTGGCAGCAGCCAGGTGGGGCCAGTCCAGGTCTCCTCCAAGATGGGACCCCCCTCCCCCCACCTACTCTGGAAAGGCAGCCCTTCCCGCCTCAGGATCCCTGGACCCGCCCTGCAGGTACCCAGGGCCCCCCGACCCGGGCGCCGTGGGCCCCCTGACCCTGGCCCGTGTCCCTTTCCCCAGGAGCTACAAGATCCGCTTCAACAGCATCTCCTGCTCAGACCAGCTGGTGTCCTCATGGCGGCGGAAGAGGAAGGAGTCCAGCAACACGGACAGTGCCGGGGCGCTGGGCACCCTCAGGTCCGCGGGGGCCGCCGGGGGGGCGGGAGGCCCGGGCGCCCTCAGGTCCGCGGGGCCGCCGGGGGGCGGGAGGCCTGGGCACCGCTGGGCAGGGCGGACTCCGCAAACGCTCCTTGCGCCCCAGGTTCTGTGTGTTCGGGCTGGGCTCCCGCGCTTATCCCCACTTCTGCGCCTTTGCACGAGCGGTGGACACGCGGCTGGAAGAGCTGGGCGGGGAGCGGCTCCTGCAGCTGGGCCAGGGCGACGAGCTGTGCGGCCAGGAGGAGGCCTTCCGGGGCTGGGCCCAGGCCGCCTTCCAGGTGAGCCCCTCGTCCCGTCCCGCCTGGCTGACCCAGGCCCCCTCATTCCGACCGCATTCTGGACCGGTCGGGGCCGCCAAGCTGACCCTTCCAGGTTCCTCTGAAATCCACCTTCATCTTGCCCCTGCACGGCCACCCTTCTGGCTGGTCCTGAGCAGCGGCCAGCCGGGCCTGGGCAGAGGCCAGCAGACCGGGCCCTGCAAGCAGGACCCTCTGGGACGAGGCTGAGCCCCATAATGGGCACACAGAGGGGCGGGGCGCAGGGGAGGGGTGGAGGGAAAGGAAGGACAGAGAGAGGGTCCGAGCCAGGCAATGGCTGCTGAAGCTGAGACCAGCACAGAGAGCTCAGGAAGTCAGAGGCAGTGGGCCTGGGGGTGGCGCCTGGACCGGCGGGGTCCTGGAGGTGAGTGCAGGGTGGGGAGGCGGTGGCTTGCTCAGCCGAGCTTCCTTCCAGGAAGCCTGGGGCAGGGTCAGCCCCCACTTGCCCCTGTCCCCAAGCTGCCCCTGGGCAGAGCCACCTCTCCCCACTGGCTCCCAGGCTCCACCCTGATCAGAGGAGGGCATCCTCTTCCCTGGCCCAGCTGGCGGGCGCTCAGGGAGGGCCGCTGGGGACGCAGAGAGGCCCAGGCAGGAGGAGGGAGGGGGGAAAACAAGAGGAGGTGAGGGGTGGGGGCAGTCGCCAGAGAGCCCCCAGCAGGAAGACTCCAGTGGGCAGCTGAGGTGAGGGGAGGAAGGAAGGGGGGCTAGAAGACTTCACACACAAAGGGGGGTTAACAGCCTGCGATGTGGGGTGAGGCGGTGACCATGGTGAGTGAGCCCCCAGATCAAGCCTGGGGCTTGGGCTTGTGTCTGAGCAAGCCCCAGGAGAGACACACCAACCTGTCACCCACAGGGTCCCCGAAATTTGTATCTGGTTTCAGCAGCCCTTCTGGCCTTCACATAAAGTATCTCACTCTCACTTCCCTAGATCCTAGCGGGTGTCAAGGAAACAGGCACGTCCACTGGGTGCCGTCTGCAGGCCTGGGCGCACCTGCTCCCTGCCCTGTGCAAGCGCGGTGCCCCCAGGGGTGCCACCGGCCCAGAGGCTGGCGGTGGGAGGCGCGGGCGTGCGAGGTACAGCTGGGCTCGAGCTCCCAGGCCTCCATTTTCCTCTGCGGAGTGCTGCCGCCCTATGCGCTCACACTGCCCCCCCCCCCAGGGCAGTGAGGGGCCCACCGGGTCCAGCTCGATGAGCACACGGCCCCCCAGGCTGCTGGCACTCGGGCTCCCGGGCAGGAGCGCCCAGTCCTACCCAAACCCACGCCCCCAGGCCTCCTGTGAGACCTTCTGCGTGGGAGAGGACGCCAAGGCGGCTGCCCGGGACATCTTCAGCCCCAAGCGGAGCTGGAAGCGCCAGAGGTACCGGCTGAGCCCCCAGGCTGAGGGCCTGCAGCTGCTGCCAGGTTCGGGCCTGACCTCCCCCACCCCGCTGGCCCTGGGGCTCTCGGGAGCCCGGAAAGCACAAGGGGCCAACAGCGGGCTGGGCCTGCCCCCTCCCAGGTCTGACCCACGTGCACAGAAGGAAGATGTTCCAGGCCTCCGTGCGCTCGGTGGAAAACCTGCAGAGCAGCAAGTCCACGTGAGGACTTGAGCCCCGCCCCCCGCCCCCCCAGCGCGCACCCCGTCACCTCCCGGTCGCAGCCCAGTGAGGAGACAGCCTCCCCCAGCCCCGCCCGCCCCCCCCCCCCCCCCCTCTGCTGCGCCGTGTAACTGCCCTCCCCGCAGCCGGGCCACGATCCTGGTGCGCCTGGACACTGAGGGCCAGGACGGGCTCCTGTACCAGCCCGGGGACCACGTCGGCATCTGCCCACCCAACCGGCCCGGCCTGGTGGAGGCGCTGCTGAGCCGCGTGGAGGACCCGCCGCCGCCGGGGGAGCCCGTGGCCGTGGAGCAGCTGGAGAAAGGCAGCCCTGGTGAGGGCAGGCCCGGGGCCACCTGAGCACCGCCCTGGCCACCCGCGGGGACCGCCCTCCAGGCGGGCTCGCTCCTGCCAGCCCGCCTTGCTCTGGACCCGCAGACTCTGCGAGCCCCCTTTCTGAGAACCTGTTCCCAGCCACCCCACAAGGCTGTCCCTCCGCTGAGATCCCCCGAGGCACCCCCGTAGCACCGCGTCTGGCCCGTCCTGGTGTTAAGTTCACGTGGGCGGGGAGAGGCAGAGCAGCCCGGAAGCCGCAGCCCCTCAGCACCCTGCACTGCCCTAGGCGGCCCGCCCCCCGGCTGGGTGCGGGACCCCCGGCTGCCCCCGTGCACGCTGCGCCAGGCGCTCACCTTCTTCCTGGACATCACCTCCCCGCCCGGGCCCCGGCTGCTGCGGCTGCTCAGCACCCTGGCGGAGGAGCCCACCGAACAGCAGGAGCTCGAGGCCCTCAGTCAGGTGGGGCCGCGTCGGGGGCGGGGACTCGCGCGGCGGGGAGGGGGCGGGAACCCCGGCCCTCGAGAACTGGGGTTCAAGCCCCAGGCCAGTCACGCATCCCCGCATCACGGCCACCAAGAGCCGACCCAGAAGGTGCTGCGGGCTGAGGGGAGGGAGCCCGAGCCTCGAGCGTCAAGGCGGGGGTCCGCGGGCAGGGCTGGGAGGGTCCGAGCCGAGCGCCTGCCTGCAGGACCCGCGCCGCTACGAGGAGTGGAAGTGGTTCCGCTGCCCCACGCTGCTGGAGGTGCTGGAGCAGTTCCCGTCGGTGGCGCTGCCCGCGCCGCTGCTCCTGACCCAGCTGCCCCTGCTGCAGCCCCGCTACTACTCGGTCAGCTCAGCCCCCAGCGCCCACCCGGGAGAGATCCACCTCACCGTAGCCGTGGTGGCCTACAGGACCCAGGGTGAGCCGCAGGGCGGGGGGGGGGCGACCCCTCACTGGCCCCTCCCCCATCCGCAGACGGGCTGGGGCCCCTGCACTACGGAGTCTGCTCCACGTGGCTGAGCCAACTCAAGGCTGGAGACCCAGTGCCCTGCTTCATCAGGGGGTGAGTGCGCAGTGGGGTGCAGGCAGAAGGGGCACCGAGTCTGTCCAGCAGGAGGCAGTGTCTGGGCAGCAGTGGGGCGCAGGCTGGGTGGCAGCTTCTGTGAGGGGTGAGTGGGGGCGCGGCCCAACAGCAGGAGCTCGAGACCCTCAGCCAGGCATGCCCTGCATCCCGGTGGGCCCCGGCTCGGGCATCGCGCCTTCTGGGGATTCCGGCAAGAGCCGCTGCATGACATTGACAGCAAAGGTGAGGGTCAGCACTCTGGCAAAGCTTGGGCCTTGCGCTAATTTGGGGCTGTGTGTAG